CGGGAATGATTTTAGTTCTGGATTAACAGAGCGTCCGGGGGCCGTGGCTTCAGGGGTTCCTCTAGTCCTACTCAGACCATTAAGTCTGGTCTTTTTACATGAATTTGAGTTCTGCTCCCCACTTTTTTCCTGCCCAGGGACTCTCTGCTGTGTTCCCTGTCAGAGCAGTCATTGGTGGTAGCCAGGTACCATATAGTTCTTCTGGTCTCAGGCTGATGGAGTCTATGGTTTATGCGGACCTTTTGTCTCTTGGGCTAATATTTTCCTTGTGTCTTTGGTGTTCTTCATTCTCCTTTGCTCCAAGTGGGTTGGGACCAATTGATGCATCTTAGATGGCTGCTCGCAAGCTTTTAAGACTTCAGACACCACTTACCAAAGTGGGATGCAGAACATTTTCTTAATTAACTTTGTTATGCCAATTGTAAGGTGTGTCTCTTACAGACAGCATATTGATGGATCTTTTTTTTTTTATCCATTTTCTCACTCTCTGTCTCCTTATAGGTGCATTTAAGCCCTTTATGTTCAGCGTGATTATCGATAGGCATGAGTTTATTGCTGTAATTTTGTAGTGCTTTTGTTGTGTGTTGCTGAGGTTTACTTTGTTCCTCTTACTCTTCTGCCCTGAGCTCCTTTTGTCTGTGTAATTTCTTTTCATTTCTTCTGTTATTGTAAATTTTGTGTTTACTGAGACTTTATGTTTCTCTTCCTTATTTTGATGAGTAGGTTTGTTAACTTTCTTTGTGGTTACTCTCAATTTTCCCTTATCTTCCTAAGTTTGAACCAGTCTTTTATTACTTGATATTGCTTTGACTTCATCTCTATTTGACAGTTTTATACATATACCATGTATTCCCCCTATTATTATTCTGACACTGTCATCACTTACAGATTGACATCTCTAGTTCCCTGTTTTAAGTCTTTCAGTTTTGTTTTATCCTTGAGAATTCATTACCTAGGTCAGTACCTGGCTGATACTGGCCTGTGTCCTAGATTCAGATTGTTGACTGATGTTTGTTTTCTAACCAAAGGACTCCCTTTAATAATTCTTGTAAGTTTGGTTTAGTTTTTACAAATTCCCTTAATTTCTGTTTATCTGGAGATGTCCCAGTTTCACCATCATATTTGAGAAGGAGTTTTGCAGGATATATTATTCTTGGTTGGCTATTTTTTTCTTTCAAGGTTTTATATATGTCATCCCATTGTCTTCTTGCCTGCATAATTTCTCCTGAGTAATCAGAGTTTAATCTTATTGTTTCCCCCTTCATATGTGACCTTTTCCCCCCCTCGGGTTGCTCTCAGGATTATTTCTTTGTCTTTGGTTTCGGCAAGAGTGATTATGATATGTCTTGGTGACTTTCTTTTGGGGTTTATCCTATATGGGGTCATTGAACTTCTTGGTTGGTCAGCTTTTCATCTTTCATAATATTAGGGAAGTTTTCTGTCAGCAAATCTTCCATGATCCTCTCTGTGTTTTCCATTTTCTCTCCTGTTCTGGAACTCCAATCACGTGCACATTTTTGCTCTTGATTATTTCCCGCATAGTTCTTAGGGTTTTTTTCATTTTTCTTCATTCTTTTCTGATGTTTCCTCGAACAAAGTGGCTTCCATGAATTTGTCTTCAATTTTGCTGATTCTGTCTTCCATTGCTTCAAATTGTTGTAAAACCTTCTATTGCATTGTCCATTCTGAAATTTTGTTGTTTATGTTTTGGATTTCTAATTGCTATTTTTGTATGATTTCTAATTGTTTATTTATTTTGACATTTTATTCTTGTATTGTTTTCCTGGATTCTTCTATTGCTTTGTCTGTTTTTTCCTTGATTTTGGTTATGTTTTGGTTGGTTTTGTCTGTGTTTTCCATGATTTTGTCTGTGTTTTCCTTGATCTCTCACCTCTCTTGGAGAACCTTGAATATTAGACTTTTGAATTTCCTATCAAGTAGTTCCAGTGCCTTTTCTTCTGCTGGAAGGTCATCTGGTGCTTTATTTTGGTCACTTACTGACCCCATCTTGTCTGGTTTTTTTATGTGTTTTGGTATTGATTGTAGGTTTATTTGTATCATTCTGTTTTTCTGTCTTGTTTGTTATGTCTGGGTGGGCAAGCTGAGCATGCTTTGTTGCTTGCTCATCTTTTGGCACGGTAGTTCTCACCACCTTGTCCAGGTATGTAAGGCCAGTTGCTCAGCTATGGTGCAGCAGGGCAGGTCCAGTGCAGGGGAAGGGGTGAGGGGGGTTGTATGTGTGCAGCATGAACCATGCCAGAGCCAGATACTGGAGTAGGGCCCTCAGCTGGGCAGGGCCTAAGCCAACAGGGAAGGGCCTGAGGGTCCAGGCTTGTTCCCTCTTGGGGCTGCAGAGCATGGTGTAGCGGGGGCTGAGCTGGCCAAGGGCAGTCTGAGGGTCTGGGCTGGTTCCCCTCAGGGCAGCAGAGCACGGCAAACATGGGGGCCGAGCCAGCTGAAAGGGGTCTGGGGTCCAGCCAGCGGGGCTGAGGAGAGAGGCAGGAGGGGGTGGCAAAGGCAAGGGCAGAGGGAGATAGATGGAGGAGGGCAAAGGGTGAGTTAGCACTGTGGTTTCTGGCATTCGAGGCTGCTGGGATGGGGCAGTTCTTGCCGCTATTCACCAGAGGGTTGGGGGTTGTAGGAACATGCTCCTGTGGTTACCAGGTAAGAGAGTCTGGGCTCGTCCTTGAGTTGCAGCCAGCAAACATGGTCTTACTTAGCCCTGAGTGTGTCTGTGCTGTACCTCTATCACCTATTGGGAATTCTGTGGAAGTACCTTTCTTCATACGGGGTTGTTAGCTTTATTCCAAGAGGGCCACACTGAGCCATGCCATTTAGCTAGGAACCCCCACTCCATATCTCTGCTCCTTCACTGTTTTCTGTCAGTTTCTTCTTCTCATTGGCTTCTACTCTAATACTTTATCCCTTCATTTAAGGTCCAGGTTCCAGGATTGACATCTGTATCTGTTTTACTTGGTTTTGGGGGTCTTTGTTGTAGCAGGATGGCTTAGTGTGTCTGACTAGTCTGCTATCTTGGCTCCACTTCCTAAATTCTTTTATAGATTAGAAATGATAGATACTGCTTAGCACATAGTAGATGGAAGCTATGATTATTGTTATAATGATTTTTATTACTTGCATTATTTGTAGACTATTAAAGGGTAGGCAAGTCGAATTCAATTATCAGTATTACCAAACCTTCTTTTATAAATTTTTCAAATGCAGTTCAAAGTAAGAAGGCTGATGCCTGGCACTGCTGTCACTGTACTGAGAGCACTGTATTTTTGCAACATGTTTTGACTGTGGGGTCCACATCCTGCTCCTCACTCTCAGTGATAGTCTGTGAGGTTTTGTTTATTTCTTATTTGAGAACAGATGATATCAAAACGTGGTCATAGGCACCCAGCCAAGTCCCAGCATCATCTGGATAGGGGTGATCAGTTGTCCTGGCCTCTGCCACTGCAGAGCCACCATTTACATACAATCTGTGCTCTGTAAACTACCAACACTGTCATCTCAAGCAAGTGGCTTAAACTCTCTATTTGTGACGGGGCTAAGTATAGAATAATTTTGAGAATTATATGAGGTGATTTATATAAAATGCTTAATATACACCTAACAGTAGTAGTAGTTTCTTCCAAATGGGAAAAGTTCTCTTTTAGGCAACCTAACACCAGCTCAGCTTCTACCTTCTGAGTCTGCCCACACAATCCACCTGAACTTACCTTCTCATGTCCAGGGTGCTTACCACATCCTCCTTAGCTGCCTTTCCATAAGGCTCCAGTACTCAGCTGATGTTGGTCTGAGCAGAGAACTCCCACACCTGCAACAATCAGAGAGTCTCTTCTCTGTCTGCATATTCTCTAACCACTGTAACTTCAAAGCACACCTCAGCTTTCCTCCATCTCTCTAGGCTGTATTTATGCCTCTCCTCTTTCGCTAACATCTTCTACTTTATTGCCACCTAGAATTCCTCAGATAGTCTGGGTGCTAAACCCATCTGACTTGGTCTAGAATTCCCAGAGTACAGGGTCCCTACAAGGAAATCAGCTGGTGGGCCCCCGGAAGTCTTTGTAACAATGTTTAGCAGGGATCCTGAAGGCAGAGCAGGTCTCCCTTGCCAAGCCAAAATCAGTCTGAGATCCCCCAAGCAAGATGAGGAAGGTGGGGTGAGGTGGAGGTGAGAGATGTTCCTTTTGTTCCCAATGTTTTATTATGCAAATTCTCAAACATATGGAAAAGTTGAAAGAATTTTACAGTGAACACCCATATACCTACTACTTAGATTCTACCGTTAACACTTTCTTTTACTTGCTTTGTCACACATCTGGAGCCCTGGTGGCGCCGTGGTTATGTACTCGGCTGCTAACCAAGAGGTCAGTGGTTCGAATCCACGAGGAGTTCCATGAGAAAGCTGTGGCAGTCTGCTTCCATAAAGATTACAGCCTTGGAAACCCTATGGTGCAGTTCTGCTCTGTCTTATAGGGTCACTATGAGTAAGAATTGACTCGACAGCAACAGGTTTTATCACACATCTATCCATCCACCCATCCCTGTAGCCATCCATCAATCCATCTTATTTTTCAAAAGATGCTCCTTTTTTATTTCACCAGTTCTTTACAATTTGAACAGCCTGCTTTCTTTTAATCTTTATCATATCCTTTGAGAAAGATGATACAAGCATTCTCATCTTACAAATGAGTAACCTGATTCTCAGAGAAATCAGAAATCCACCCAAGGTCATAGGGCTAATTTCCCTGTTGTAACAGAAACCTACAAGGTCTGTTTTCTGATTATTGTAGCTACTTCTGTCGGCAAGAATGCTTGGTGACTGAATGAATAAATAAATGAATGGCTTTGCTAGGCAATAGACCTAGGAGATGGAAAGCAGGAATCTCATCTCAGTCCTTTAAATTCTCACTGTCTGGCATTTATGCTTGATATATGTTTACTGAGTGAATGAACAAATTAACTAATTAATGCTGGTTTGGGGAGTCCAGCTGCTCCTCCAAGTCCCTCTTCTGTCTCTGCAGAACTAAGAACCTCTGGAGAGGAAGCAGTCCCAACAGAGGTGATAGGAACCCTAGGGGGATTCATGACTTTACCCCTGAACATCTCAGTGGGCACAGAGATTGAGCATGTCGCATGGAATGGTCCCCAAAAGACCCTTGCTCTAGCATCCCCGGCAGGAGCGGTTATCATTTTGGACAAAAGCTATCAGAGCCGACTAAGCATCTCCAGCCAGAGCTACTCTCTGAACATAAGCAAACTGACCCCAAAGGATGAGGGGCTCTATCGAGCCCAGATAAACAGAAAGAATTCTAACATTACCATTGAGGAGAGATTCGTCCTACACATCTACGGTGAGTTCCAGAGAGCTTCTGTAGGTTTTGATCTTTATTTATTTATTTATTTTTATTGTACTTTAGGTGAAGTTTTACAGAACAAATAGTTTCTCATTAAACAGTTAGTACACCACATACTGTTTTATGACAATGGTGAACAACCCCACTACATGTCAACGCTGTCCCTTCTCAATCTTGGGTTCCCTATTACCAGCTTTCCTGTCCCCTCCTGCCTTCTGACTGTTGTTCCCCATTAGTCTCAAATTGTTTTATGAGGCTGTCTAATCTTTGGCTGAATGGTGAACCTCGGGAGTAACTTCATTACTGAGCTAAAATGGTGTCCTGGGGCCATACTCTCGGGTTTTCTCCAGACTCTGTCAAGCCAGTAAGTCTGGTCTTTTTTTGTGAGTTAGAATTTTGTTCTACATTTTTCTCCAGCTCTGTCCAGGACTCTTTGTTGTTTTGATCTTTATTTTTAAAAACAGATTTCTTTCTCTTTGGAATTTATCACTCTAGAATAAATAGGACTACTGCTTCGGGTTGTTTTTGTTGTTGTTTTTGTTTTCCCAATGCCATATATACAGATGTCAAGAGTGAAAAACATAGCCATAAAATCCTTACACATTATATAATTTCCATATTTCACGTAACTGGTCCCCTACTCATAGACTATTAGGTTGTTTCCAATATTTTTCTCTTTCAAGCAATGCTGTAATGAATATTCTTAGGCATTTGTCTTTCACACATATGTGAATAAGATAAATTCTGAAGGATAAATGTATAGAATAAATTCATAGAGTCAGGTTGCTGAGTGGAAGGGTATATGCATTTTTTTATTTTGTTAGAGATTTCCAAATTGACCTCATGTTATCAAGTAACCCTCCCACCAGCAACGTTTCAGAGTACATTTCCCTACATTCTTAATAACACTTGTTATCATATTTATCTTTGCTGAACTGATTAATTAAAATAGTATTTCATAGTTTAAATTTATATTTTTCTAATTATAAGTGAGATGGACATCTTTTCATGTGTTTCAAAGCCATTTGTATTCTCTTTTCTGTGACAGTTAATATACTTTACCCATCTTTCTCTTGGGTAGTTTGACCTTTTATATTGATTTTTAGAGTGTTCTGTATATATTAAGGAAATGGAATTCTATGCAGCTAATAGAATGAATTTATTCAATATGTAACAACATAGAACAATATCTAAGATATATTGTTAATTTTTTTAAAAAGTTTAGAACAGTATATATAGTGTGCTACCATATGTCTGTCTATACCTACACTATCTCTGGAAGAATCAACAAGAAGCTCATAACAATGAGCTTCTTAGGGAGAGGAAATAGGTGCGTGGGGAAACAGGAGGACAGAAAGCTTACTTTTTGTATTTTTTTCAATTTTATGCATACACTACCTAGTCAAAAAATAGCATTTAATTAAACACACACACTATGAAGAGAGGAGATAGACCAAAAGGGAAGGAAAGGACCAGGAAGAAGTTCTGGGAGAGCAATTGGTCCTAAATTCAGAGCAAAAGACATGAGCAACTCAAATTCTAGAGGCAGAGCTCCCCTCTCCATAGTGTTTGAGGCCAGGTCATTCATCCACTTATTCATCAAACATTCATGAGTGCCTTTCATGGGCCAAGCCGGGTGTCAGGTGTTTGGACATAGGCATCAGCCTGCCCTTGAGGAGGTCACATACTGGTGGAGGAGAAAGAGAAATAATCAGACTCTAAATCATGTTGAGCGGTGGTGATAACCCCTGTGGAGGACACTATGGAAGCAAGAAGAGAGGTGCTCATCTCAGCCTCCAGTGGGAAGCTGAGAGAAAACTCCCCTGGAACAGTAATGCTTGTCTTTCTCTGCTGCCCCAGTTCCCCTGCACTCACCACTTTGTCCTGGGGCTCATCTGCTAGGAAGGAGTCTGAGTAGTCTTCCCTTTGCCGTTGTCTCGGCAGAGCAGTTGCAGAAGCCCCGAGTCACTGTGAAGCACACCATGTCTGAGAGCACCTCCTGTAACCTCACCCTGGTGTGCTCCGTGGAGAGGGCAGAGAAAAGCGTTCTGTACAGCTGGACCTGGGTGGACACCCACTCTTTTAAGTCCTTTGAGAGCTCCACTCTTACCATCTCCTGGATGCCCTGTGATCCAGATGTGGCGTACACCTGCACAGCCAAGAACCCTGTCAGCCAGAGCACCTCCAGCCCTATCCATGCCCAGCAGTTCTGTGCAGGTACCTGACTCCACTTGGGCCCTCCAAGGGATTCCAGAAACACTTTGAGCAGCTGTGAGGCCTAAACCCCCGGGTTCTAGCAGGACACAGATGGGGTAGGGAAGCAACAGAACAGGGCTCAAGACCCCTTGTTCTGTAACCTCGGTGCCTGAGAGAGGCTGGCAAGGGACTTGGAAACTCCCAGGGCACTATGGAAACTCCAAGGGCAGAGAAAGGGAGAGGAAGAGAGTATGCATGACAGGGTCTAGATTGATCTTTTCCTGGGCGGGGGGGTGGTATCCCCTGGGGTATCCTCAGAAGGGCAGACAGGGCAGGAGAGGTCTGTATGCAGTAGGCGGAACCAGGTGGAACGGACGGTCATGGGAAAGCAGCAGGGAAACGTCATCAGAAGAGATGGCTGGGGGGAAGGGGTGGAAGCCCAGGCAGGCTGGCTGAGGGGCAAAGGAGTTGGGAGAATGTGACCACGCTGCAATACCTTCTCTCTGACTGTAGATCTAAGAGCCTCCAGAGGACGAACAGTGGGGGAGACAGTGGTGGGGACACTGGGGGAGTCGGTCACCCTGTCCCTGACAGTCCCGGTCAGTCGGGACATAGAGAAAGTTGTCTGGATGTTTAACACATCCATTATCAGCAAAGACTGGCGAGAACCAGCAATAGCAGGCCCACTCATGAAGTCCAAGGAACCTGGCAAGGACAGAGTGTGGGTCTCTGACCAGGACTACACCCTGAAGATCAGCCAGCTGAAGATGGAAGACACCGGCCCCTACAATGCCTACTTGTGCTTAAACACCCCCAGACTCACCAGCACACAGCACTTCACCCTGCGCGTCTACCGTAAGTGTCTGGGCAGAGCGTCCATCATTAGATTCCTTCCCTGAAAGGTTTGCTGCCTTCCCCACCTCCCTCCTTTCCCATGCCTCCCCTTGTACTAAAATGCCTCAGATCACTGGGACAGCTATACAGTTCACACCAGTCCATTCACAGGCGGGAAAATTTACAACCAGCAGCTGGAAAAATCTACCTGCCAACGTCCCCCTTCCTATAAACTTCTAGTTAGGACTCCACCACCCAACTTTCACTTACTTGTGCCTGCTTCCTGAACTGATTATCAAATGAGACCAGAAACTCTCCAGACTGCATTTTTATAGAACATTCCCATTTTCTACAAGGATACAGCCAACTGGGGTGGGATCAGAGAAGACTGAGTAGAAAGCCCCTGCCTCAGTGTCCAGATGACTCTGTGGCCTCTGAGGGTGTGGGCCGCTCAGTTGCCTTGAGTGTGAGGGAGAGAATGTGCATTCTTCTTCCTCATCCCTGGCCTGCAAGGGAGGTTGGCTGGTCAGTTTGCATGGTTTGAGTTTGTCAGCTCTTTCATCTGCATCATTCAGGAGTGGTCAACATAACCCCTGCCTGGATTTGTTGGCGTCTGAGTATATGTGAAAAGAGTCATTCCCCATAGTCCTGATAAAATATGCAGCAAGCCAGCCAGGAACAGGGGACACTGGTGGTTCAGCAGCAGAATTCTCACCTTCCATGTGGGACCACCCATACCCATCGCTGTCAAGTTGATTCCAACTCATAGCAACCCTATAGAACAGAGTAGAACTGCCCCATAGGGTTTCCAAGGAACAGCTGGTGGATTCAAACTGCCAACCTTTTGGTTAGCAGCTGTGGCTCTCAACCATTGAGTCACCAGGGCTCCTGGGTTCAATTCTCAGCCAAGGCACCTCAAGCGCAGCCACCACCTGTCTGTCAGTAGAGGTTTGTATGTTGCTATGATGCTGAACAAGTTTCAGTCGAGCTTCCAGACTAAAATGGACTAGGAAGAAAATCCTGGCGATCTCCTTCTGAAAATCTTCCAGTAAATACCCTATGGATCACAGTAATCTATCCACAACCTACCATGGGGCAGAACCAGGCAGCATCTCATTCTGTTGTGCATGGGGTCACCATGAGTCAGAGGCCAACTGGGTGGCAGCTAACTACAATAGGTCACGTACACACTCAGTGCATGCTGTGACTCAAATATAAAAGAACTAGCAAGAAGATTAAGTAAAAAATATAAACCAGGAACAAACAGAGCCAGCCAAAATATGTCTTTTAAAATTGCTAACTGTATGCGTTTCCAAGGGCTGCTGTAACAAAGTACCACAAGGCAGGTGACTTTCAGCAATAGAAATGCATTGTCTCACAGTTCTGGAAGCTATGAGTCCAAAATCAGCGTGTCAGCAGGGCCATGTTCCCTCTGAAGGCTCTAGGGGAATTTCCTTTCTTATCTCTGTTTCTGGTAGCCCCAAGTGTTCCTTGATATGTAGATGCATCTTTAGATGGCCGTCTTTCCTCTGTCTGTCTCTCTGTGCCTCTTCTCTTCTACAGGACACTACTCATATTGGATTAGGACACATCCTACTCTGGTATGACCTCATGTTAACTTAACTAATAACATCTTCAATGACTGTTTCCAAACAAGGTCACATTCACAGGTACAGGGGGTTTAGGACTTCAACATAAATTTTGGGGAGACACAATTCAATCCATAACATAAACATTTATTGAGCACCTACTATGTGACAGGTGCTATGTTCACCTGTCTACCTGCATTAGCTCATATAAGTAAACAAATAAATAAGATAATGAGACCTCAAATGTAAGACTTGTAAGGGTCTTCAGAGCACAAAGAAGGGCTATGCTTATTGTTGTTGAATGATTTGCTTGCTTTTTGCAGCTGTGAGTATATCATGTAGAATGATGTTGTATCTTTCTTTTCTCAGTTTTCAATAACTCCCTCATTTCACACATGAGCATCAAATGCCCATAGAGGTGAAGTGACATGCCTGAGATTTCACAGCTAACAAGAGAAAGGCCAGGCACACTCCAAAATGCCTGTGACACTTAGAGACAATTTCCCAGCCCTAACACAGGGTCAACACACAACTTTAGTGAATATATTATGAACAAATGAAGACATAGTGGCTCAGTGGGCAGGCCTGACTCCATACTGGGCTTGCTTTTCTCCTCACACAGGGAGGCTGAAGAAGCCGGAAATCACCTGGATCCCTGGGCCCTCTGATGACAGCATCTGCAGAGTCACCCTGATGTGCTCAGTGGAGGACAGTGGAGATGATGTGACCTACAGATGGACCTTCTTGCAAAAGGGAGCTGTTGCATCCCAAGAGGGGTCACTCCTCAATGTCTCCTGGCGTAGCAGTGAATATCACCCCAACTTCACATGCACAGCTATGAACCCCATCAGCAACAGTTCCTGGCAGTTTCTTTCTGGGAATATCTGTCCAGGTTTTTATCTTCATCACTACTCTGCCAAGCCTCAGGGCCTCAGGGCCTTGGCTCCAAAAGAGTATGCATTCTAAGTGGTTCCTTATGAAAGTACAGAAAGGGAATGTAAGCAAGACACCTTTAGAACAACACATTCCAACAGAAGTATAATGGGAGCCACGTATGTAATTTTTAATTTTCTAATAGCCATATGGTGCCCTGGTGGTGAAGCAGTTAAGAGCTACAGCTGCTAACCAAAAGGTCAGCAGTTCGAGTCCACCAGCTGCTCCTTGGAAACCCATGGGGCAGTTCTACTCTGTCCTATAGGGTCGCTGTGAGTCAGAATCAACTCAATGGCAATGGGTTTGGTTTGGTTTTTTGTTTAATAGACGTATAGAAAAAGAAAGAGATAAAGTTAATTTTCATATTTTATTTAACCTAATATGTCCAAAATATCATCATTTAATTATGTACCTAATATTTTTAAAATTACTTGTGAAATAATTTATATTTTATCTTGTACTAATTCTTTGAAATCCAGTATGTATTTTACAGCATATCTCAATTCAGACACTAAATATTCATGGGCATACTTGATTTGTATTTAGATTTTACAAAACTTACAGTTAGAAAAATATATTTACATATCCAAGTTGTTCCAACATATTTATTAGTTTTTTAATAACTGAGTCTTCTATCAGTTTTAAATTTTATTAATTAAAATTTAAATTTAAAATTTTGTTCCACTGGCCACATTTCAAGGGTTTCCATGGGACTCATGACTATAGTATTAGAAGCACGGCATTAGAGATTTGTGGAGAAAAGTTGATAGGAAGTTGATATGAAAAGGGAGGCAGACAACCAAGGAACAAGGCTATGTGAGTGAGTTAAAAAGGAAGCCCTAGTGGCTCTTTACTAAATGCCAAGCACTATTATAGGCTTTTGTGCATTTTAGCACCATCATTCTTCACAATACTATGAAGCAGATATTCTTACTATCCTCCATTATATAGATAAACTGAGACTCAGAGAGGCTAAGGAACTTACCCAAGGTCAACAGCAAAAGCAGAATTGGAACTCTGAGTTCTGTCCTCTCTTCTTCCCTACAGGGAAGCAGAGGGAAGGGAAGATCTACCCAGGGTCTGATGATGCTGGGTCAGGCTATGTCTGGCAGATGGATCCTGGCTCAGTAGGAATCTGAGCTCTTTCTGTCTCAAGCCTGGAACTCCCCAACTACCATTTACAGAAAGGGGCATTGTAGTAGTTTGGCCTTTAAGGGTGCTTTAGAATCAGAGAGATTGCATTCAAATCCTGACTCAGGTACTTAAACTCTATAACACTGAGCAAGTCATAAACCTCTATCACCAGGTAATTATTTATTACTGCAACCTCTTGCCTAGAACAATGTCTGCTCAGTATAAAGTTGCAGAATGAAAATAAATATTTTCTGCAGTATCACGGGATTTTTAAGAGGCAGATGGGATGATCATTATGTTCTGTTCATCGTTTGCTCCAATCTCACTTGTCATTATTTGTATTAATATCACTCATTTCCTCTTTGAAGGGCCTTCGAGAAGTATGAAGCATTGGATTATACTCTTCCTGATAACTGTTGTCCTTCTATGCTTTGGATTCTCCGGCTGGTGTATTTGGAAGCAAAAAAGACAGTGTGGGTTTACTGAGACCAATGGTGTCTGCCAGCACTGGCCATTTCCCTGGTGCCTTCCTTTCCTCTGGAGGTTCTCTGTTCTCACCTAATCCCCTCCTACTTCTTGTCTCCCAAGATCTCCATTCTTCTCAGAGTGATGGATAGGATGGGGAAGGGGGTGTTAGTTGGAACTCTTCAGTTATAGACAATCAAAACCCAGTTCAAACTAGTTTAGACAACAAGTGCGGGGGGTGACTTATTGATCGCATAATCAATCTGTGGGAAAGGCAAGAGTGGAGCTGGCCTTAGGGACAGATACCATCGAGACTCTCATTTACCGGAGCTCTCTATCTCTCAGCTCCACTTCTCTTTTGAGCCAGTTTAGCTCTCTCCTACTGCAGCCAGCAAGGAGCCCTGGTGGGGCAGTGGTTAAGTGCTTGGCTGCTAACCAAAGGGTCAGCGATTCAAACTCACTAGCTGCTCCACAGGAGAAAGACATGACAGTCTGCTTCTGTAAAGATTACAGCCTTGGAAACCTTGTGACACAGTTCTACTCTGTCCTATAGGGTCGCTGAGTCGAAATCAACTCGACTGCAGTGGAACTGGGTTTTTGGATTGCAGTCAATAGAGAGCTGGGTGTGGAGGGTGTGCCACAACACACCATAGCTCCAGACTCACACATACTAATAAGCTTGACACCAGAAAGGGAAAAAGATGTTTCCCTCCAACTCCAATTTGAGAAGTCTCCAGAAATAGCTCTGATTGGCTCTGCTTTAGGTCCTGTGTCCACTTTCTGGGCCAATCATGTGACCAAGGTGATGAGGTATTATGATTGGCGGCTTCTTCTAGAATCTCACTATTGGAGTGGGTATGGAGCAGTTCACAAAAAGAATACGATGGCTAGAATACTTAGGGACCCTGAAAGAATCACTGTGAGCAGGAAAAACATTAGTGGCTACTACATAGGGGTTAGAAGCCCGGGTGGCATGGTGGTTAAGTGCTATGTCCGCTAACCAAAAAGACTGGCAGTTCGAATCCACCAGCCGCTCCTTGGAAACCCTATGGGGTAGTTCTATTCTGTCTTATACGGTCACTATGAGTCGGAATTGACTCTATGGCAACTGGTTTTTTTCACAGAGAGGTTAGAGGTATCCCTGCAGAGGGATGAAAGGAAGCGCCAGAGCCTTCTTCCCAGCTGAAGGTGATCCTAGGCTCTGATCACCTCTACCCATGGGCTTGTACGCACTTTAGGGCTCACCCTCCCCCTAAAGCCTTTTCCCTGTCCATTTCCCCAGAATCTCTTTCCCTCTCCTTTGATGCTCAAAGAAGCCTCTCTCCTCGCAGCCCTCTTGATAAACCTTCTCTAACTTGGTTTCTCAGGTTCAGCTCCAGCCTTCAATTCCAGCCAAGTTGAGGCTCCAGCTGACTTATCAGGTAATATCACCAGTAACGCAGTTTATGGGGTCTCTGGTCCATATGAAAGCTCCAAAGCCTTGCTACTCAAAGTGTGATCTGCCAACCAGGAACACGGCTATCATCTAGGAGCTTGTTGGAAATGCTTAGTCTTGGGCCCCACCCAAGATTACTGAGTCAGAATCTGCATTTTAACAAGATCCCAGGTGATTCATACGCCCATTTATGTTTGAGAAGCAATGTTCAAATGGAAGGTGGTTTGGCGAACAAAAGCCACTACCAGGATAGACTCTTGAGAAATGGTGGCCAGAGATAGGAGAAGCAGTCTGTCATCGGTGGGGTCTCAAGGGCTCCTCAGGCACTGACTCTCATCACTTGAAAATGGAGTTCTTTTCTCCATTCTGAGAATGGAGAAACAAAGGCCAAATGGAATACTTAATCTGTGACAGGAGCAAAATTAAAACTTTAGTTAAAATTAAAGCCCATGAGATGGTTTAGATACCCATTACTCAAGAGCATCACTGAGGCAGTGGTTTTCCAATTCTTTAAGAAGCTATAGAATACTTTCTTCAAGCAAAATATTATTCAGAACCCCAATAACATATGGCATGTAAAAATGGGATTGTTCTGATGGATGGTAGGGTGGAGGGGTGAGATACCTGCCCTTATTCTCCCACTCCAACCCCACAAGGTCTTAAATTACCACCTTGTACTCCAGAGCTCCGGAGTTCTAAGGAATACCCAAACTCTGCTCACTCTGACCAATCCCTGCTTTAAAAAAGCTCTATGTCATCTCTCATGGAGGGGCTATCCCAAGGAGATGAAGTAGAAGGAGGTGTTGGGGGAGGGGGACTCAAGTAATCCAGCAATGCAGTCTTTGCCCAGAAAGAAAAGTGTAATCAAAAGAAAGGAGGCAAGAAATGGGAATGTGTCTGAACTATGGAGTATCACACAAGCTCCCTCCTCACAGCCGATAGGGCAGAACCCCCATCTCCCCCAGCCTGGACTCTCTTTTCTTGGTGCCCTGGACAGATCAGGATGAGTGGAGAAGTGCTAGGGACATCACCATCATCCCTGTCCCTCCTCCCTGCCCCAGAACCTCTCCTCAGCTCCCAAGGCCTGCTTCTTTAAACTCTCCAACATCTCTCCAAGGTTCCCTCTTCTCTAGAGCCACTGCCACTGCCTTAGTTCATACTGTTACCAATTCTTTAATTTTATAGGGTTTTTTTTAATTGAAAAATCACATGGTATACAATAAAAAGTAAATCTTCTTCCAAACCCAAATCTCCTTTCAAACCCCAATCTCTAGGTCTCTTCCCAGAGACAACCACTGTTAAAATTTATGTATATCTAGATCCTTTTAGAAACTTTTTATGCATTTACAGGTTTTATATATATATATATATATACATGTAATACGTATCATATATATAATTCCTCCTAACTCCTTTAATTACATAAATGGGGACAATCTATACAAGCTTTTCTGAACCTTGCTTTTTTAGTTAACAGTATATCCTAGCAACACTAGTATGTGTAGATTAAGACTGCCACTCATTTGTTCCATTCTACAGATGCATCTTAACTTATTTAAGCAGTCCCTATTAACAGACGTTTCTATTCCCTGTTACTTCTTTCCTAAAATATATAATAGCTTCCTAGCAGACCATCCTCTCTCCAGAGTTTCTTTTTTCTATCCCTTTTACTCACCACTTTCCAAAGCTCAGCTCTGACCTGTTCTAAAATCATCACTGGCTCCTCATAGCCTTTGTTGTTCAAGAGGCAATACAACTTAGTGGTCTGGTAATATGGGTTCTAGGTTCAGACAATCCTGTGTTCAAACCCCAGCTCACTTCTTACTGATGATGTGATCTTGGGGAATTTACTCTCTTAGCCTCAGCTTCCTTATTTCGCAATGAAAGTACCTACACCTCAAAGTTATTGTGAGGACTGAGTGGGGTAATGCACACAGTGAGTGCGCAACAGATGACAAGTACTATTATAGCTCAGTGTTGGGTCAGACCTCCCTTTATTTTTTCTGGCACACAGCCCGTACAAGGCAGTATTGAGTAGTGGGTAAGAGCATCAGGAACCAGGCTGCCTGCATTCAAATCCTGGTCCTACCACTTACTTGGGGAAATATCTAACCTTTATGTGCTCCAGTTTCCTCATCTAAACATGGGGTTTTATGCAGATTAAGTAAGTTTATTCATGAAAAGCATTTAGAACAGTGCCTGGCATACGTCACTGTTGGGTGTCATCGAGTCGATTCCAACTCATAGTAACCCCATGTGACAGAGTAGAACTGCCCTATAGGGTTTTCTTGGTTGTAATCTTTATGGAAACAGATGACCAGATCTTTCTTCTGCAGAGGAGCTGGGTGGGTTTGGACCACCAACCTTTTGGTTAGTAGCCTAGTGCTTAGCCATTCATGCCACCAGGGCTCCTTCCTGGCACATAGTAGGCACGTAATAAATGTGAGTCATTGTTATTATACACTTAGATCAAATAAGCTATTTGATGTGCCCCAAAGGCAGAGTTGACATCTGTCTTAGTTATCTAGCGCTGCTTATAACAGAAATACCACATGTGGATGGCTTTAACAAACAGAAATTTATTATCTCACAGGGTAGGAGGCTAGAAGTCTGAATTCAGCACACCAGCTCCAGGGGAAGATGTTCTCTCTCTGTCAGTTCTGGGGAAAGGTCCTTGTCATCAATCTTTCCCTGGTCTAGGAGCTTCTCAGCACAGGGACCTCGGGTCCAAAGGCTGCGCTCCCCTCTTGGTTCTTCATTCTTGGCAGTAGGAGGTCCCCGTCTCTCTGCTCGTTTCTCTCTTTTATATCTCAAAAGAGACTGACTCAAGATACAACCTAATCTTGTAAATTGAGTACTGCCTCATGAACATAACTGCTTCTAATCCTGCCTCATTAGCATCATAGAGGTAGGATTTACAACACACAGGAAAATCACATCAGATGCCAAAATGGCGGACAATCACAGACTGTTGGGAATCATGGCCTAGTCAAGTTGACACACATTTTGGGGGGACACAATTCAGTCCATAACAACATCCATCCAGTGTGCCACACTAGTTGTTCACAGCAGGCATCCATTCTAATTGTCCTATGCCCAGGCCACTGCAGTTGTTAAATATTTTGAATATCATCCCTTCCCAAGAGGGTGTCCCAGATTCCACAACTGCCTTTAATCATAATGCTCCCTCCGCCAAGAATGCCCTTTCACCTGTCAAAAATCCTGCTCCTACTTCAAGGCTAAATTCAAACACTGCCACCTTCCTAAATTCTTCCCTAGTTTCCTAACCAGAAGCCATCTCTTCCCACCTCTGCACTTTTCTCATATCTCTCATATGACTTGCAAAATATTTATGTTAATTGATTTGATAATGCATTGAATCCCCCAGCTAGACAGTACACTCTTTCAGGACCATGACTAATTTACCTTCGTGTTTCCCAGAACACCTCTCATGGTGCCTGGCATGGTTTATCCAACAGGGCCAGTTCTCTCACTGAGAGTAGCAGAGTCCATCACATGTCACATTCAATGAATGCTTATGAAATAAATGAATAAACAAATGCTTGAAAGGAAAGAGAGAAAAAGTGAAATGCAACCCCCAAAAGACCAAGGAAAACCTCTCCTCCGGTTTCCTAGGCCCCATCTGAGGAAGGAGTCAGAGCAAGTTTGGATCCTTGCTGCAAAGCAAAAGATGGGGGTTGACATGTTTCTTATATATCCAGAACCCACTGTTAGCCACAGTCTGTACACTATGCTTCCTCAAGGGTGTAAGAAGCTGGACACTCCCCCTAAGACTGCCAGGCAATGGCCTAGGACCCGCTCAAACAACAGCTCTGACAGCAACTTAACAACTGAGGAGGATAAGGAGACGACCGAGATGCAGGAGCCTGTCAGTGGAAGGGACATGGTATATGACTTGGGCCTTCAGGAGGACACAGCCTCCAACGGGCAGGCAGAGTATGATCTCGTCACACCAAACAACACAGTACCTGAGTCTGTGGCTGAAGTGAATACTGTGTATGCGCAAGTGTTCTTCAACTCGAAGGTGACTCCTTTTGATCAGCACATCTTTCCTCCCCCTCCCACATCTAGGACCATCCAATATCCTGCATGACTAGTCCCACCAAACTGGAGGTGTGAAATGGGGGATGAACAGGACCAGGGGCATGTGGGCAGGGAATTGTGACTCTATCCATATTCACCAAACCTGGGGTCCTTGGGATGGAAGTACTCATCACTTAGCTTCCTAGGGCCGTTATTAATAAGGGAGGGAGGTGTTGGAGAACCAGAGGAGCTGACCCATCACACTAGGGCAGCTCCTGTCTTCTATGTAAGACTAGAGGGGTTAAGGGTAAAACTCTGGAAATTTCTCCTTTGATGATTAAGGCTAGTCTGATGTTTTCTTTTACAGGGCAAGACGCCAGTTCCTCAGAAGAAAGACAGTTCATACACAGTGTACTGCTCTGTACAGAAACCCCAACTGGTGAGAACAATTTTCTCTGTATTCCAGAGCCCACGAAGTGAGGAACTATTGCCCAGACCTTTTTAACTGATAGTACTAGATTCCCACAGCTGAGGAGCTTAAGTTCTACCTGTTACGCACCCCTTGGCACACTCCATGGTCACCAGAGTTGCTTAAACAAATATTCCTGATTTGCATCTGTATGACCAAAGGCTGAACATTTTTTAATTGATTTAATAATTTCTATCCATCTTTTAGCTCCAACTTAAATTTTTTTATTATGAAGCCTTTCCTGTCTACCTCAGTGCAGCCAGTGCAGTAATACCTCCTACTTCCAAAGTTTGAAAACCCTTGGGAACTACGCACATAACTTAGAAAGTAGTCACGCAGTAAACGCTTGTTCAGGTATGTAGTTCAGTTCAACCATCATCTTTCTCATGTCTTGAGTTCTAGCGCATGGCCTAATGCTTAGCCAGCTATGACTTCACTTTTGGCCTTGAGGACAAATTCATACTGTTTGCTACATTCCCAAAGCTGCTTTCCTGGCCCTTTGTGTTTGGATCAATACTGGTCCATCTTAAAGTCATGGACACCAGTCCCTGCCCTGAGTTTCAGATTGTCCGTAAGTCACTGCCTGTCTGGTTTGTCCTTCATGGCTCCCACACCACCCCCAGGAACCTGAGACCCCTGAAACCACCCTACTTAAAATGCAAATAGAAATCCATGTATTTCTTCAATCAAGCTCTTGACTGAATTTATCCCTTGTCTTCAGAATTTTCAACACCAAGAATTCTGAAGCAGGTTCTGAGCCCCCTATTGCCTACTTGATCAGAAAATTCTTGAAACTACCTTAGTTACTAATTTCTGACACACGTCTCTGCTCCATATCTCAAAGAAGGTATATGTTCTTGCCAAGCTGTGGCTGACACCTAACCTCTCCCTCCTCTCTGGATCATCCCAGGTCTCATCTGTTTTTTAGAGCCTTCCCTGAACACTCTCAGACAAGGAAGCCTCAGAATGCTTATAACAGGAAGGTTTAATGATCTGGGCTATTACTTTGGAACTTAACCTCTAACACCTGAATTATCTTTATATGAATGTTTGTTTTGTTTCTCCTGCTGGGGCAGAGATTGGGATCATTAGACAGTAGATTATTGAGGTAAAGTCCTTTAATTGTCATTTTTATATCCCCTTGATTTGGTAAATGAAACTGTTTTGTATCTCCTTTGCAGAGTTCATCCCACAGCTTTTATAATTAGAAAATGTTCCATAAACCCGTCATCAGCTTGGTTGATTGCACGTTGCCCAGGCCAGTCCATATGACCTTCCTTCCATAGGATGGACCAGTCATAGCCTGGCCTCACCTTCCACTTCCTCGTTAGCACAGGGCTGAGGAAACCACAGACTTCCAGGCTTTATTAACTATGTCCTTGTGTGTTCTGGTTCTCAGGAGGGACCACCACCGCAACAGAATGATGAGTCTCCTGAAATCTCTCCTTATGAAAATTTCTCCTGAAAAGAAAAGCAGCTGCTACATCTCTTCTGAAGTTGGAGAAGCAGCTGAACCTCCTAGGACCTCAGGATCCTGCAGACAGAATACTTCAGAATTTCCCTCCGTGTGTCAGAGATACCTAGATTTATCTCCCCCTTCTTCTCACCTCATATGGTTTCCTGAGCCTTTTAATAGACCAGATCCAGGCTCTTTCTTGGAGCCCATGGCTTCAGATGCCATTGTTCCATTTGTTTCCTTGCATGTTCATATTGTTTCCTCCTCTCAACTCAGATACACCACCTCAAATTCCTCCAAGGGGACCTGGATTGACCACCCTTCACACCTTCTTCTTAACAGTTGCTAAAATGAACCCTACAGATACTCACACAGTTGCACAAAGATCTATGTAAAATGATATTCATTGCAGTATTATTTGAAATAAAAGGCTGGAAATAACCTAAATGTCCATTAGTGGGAGTCCAGTTAAATATATGATAGTGTATCCATGCTATAGCCAATGCTGCCACTTTCGTAAAGAAAGGAAAGACCAATCTGTGTTATTATGGAATGAACTCTAAGAGACACTGGACAGAATAAAGTCTAGGACAGTGTGTATATATGCTATCAGTTGAATAAAAAAGTATATCTGTATGCTTATATGGAATCCTGATGACACAGTGGTTAAGAGCTATGGCTCCTAACAAAAAGGTCAGCAGTTGGAATCCACCAGCTGCTCCTTGGAAACCCTATGGGACAGTTCTACTCTGTCCTATAGGGTCACTGTGAGTTAGAATCGCCTCGACAGCAGCAGGTTAGGTTTTTTGGTTTTATATGCTAATATAAGCACACAAAAATTCTGGGAGGACACACAAGACACTTATCAGTGGCTGCCTCTGGGAAGGGAACTGGGAATGTCAAATCAAGGAGAAGACTTACTTTCTTTTTTTTAAGAAGGAGACTTACTTTTTACTGCATACTTTTGTACTGCTGGATTTTATTAAACATGTGTGTATATTACTCTTTCAGTAGAAAAGTGTTTAAGATGACTCTTCCGTATGTTTCCCATATTTACCTAAGAGAACTTCCTTCCTTGCCTAGTCTGGATCCTTAACAGCCACAGTATCACTCATCTTCCCTTATTGTGCCCTCAACCCTCTCCCCGCTGCAAGATGCATTTAGCCTTGACTTGCACTCCTAATACCGTCATGCACATTTGTTACATGCACTTTACAGCCCATTCATGTCCTTTAATGTCATGCTTCTGCTGTCATACTCCACTGTACATAGGCCTTGGGGTCAGTATGGATTTTGTGGCCTGGAACAGGTCCTACCAGGGGGCCAGCCAGAGCTTCATATGCAGCAGGAGCTTAAGTACTGCTTATTCACTGACTGGCTGGTTGCATGGATAATTATCTTTGTAAGGCATCAGCACAGATGCTAAACAATCGGGCACGTGATACTACAATGTTGTATATTAGTATACTCCAGATTAGAGCATCCCAAAAAGTGTGGGGCCCATAGGATTCTACCTCTTCTGCTCATTAAATAAATCTGGCCAGCTCAAGACCTACACACCCCAGGACACATGAAAGGCCATCAGCAGTCATGGTCAGTGTCACTGGTGTCATCTGGACTGTTCTGACTCCCATCATCTCCTGCTTCCTCTGCTCTTCAAACCCTTTGATCTCCAACTCAGCTCCCAATACCTTGCTCAAGTCTCCCAGCTCAGATGATTCTTTTGAATATATTTCCCCAGTTTTTACCCTTGACATTTGCTCTGGGATGTGATTTGTCCACATTTCTCTCCAGGAAGAGGCCAGCCTGGCCAAGCACACAGTCCCCAGGGGAGAGGCATCAGGTAGGGTATGAATGCTTTGGCTATCCTTCAAGAGACAGATGGCCCCTGGTATTTGGGACTCTGCTATTCTAGTGGGAACAAGGCTGGGGATACTGACAGCTCACCAGGAGGCCAGACCCTTCTCCAGCAGGATTAAATAGTTATGTGTTTATTGCTGGCCCACAGTGCCATTTGGCTGCTGTAGAGAGTAAAAGTGCAAAGTATGGAGAAGACACATAAATTTAATTCCAGTAAGGAATTTACACTATCTCTCCATAACCCTGGTGACGTAGAGTTCAGCTGCTAACCAAAGGGTCAGCAGCTCAAATCCACCAGGCGCTACCTGGAAACCTTATGGGGCAGTTCTACTCTGTCCTATAGGGTCACTATGAGTCAGAATTGACTCAACGGCAACGGTTTTGGTTTTTTTCCTCTGTAACACCACAGCTTTATATTAAATTTATATTTAAATATAGGCTGGGGCAATTGAATAACCAAGTCCATGCAGTCTCACCTGTTGGGGTCTCTGAGTAGGGCCTCTTCCCATTCACTCTTGTCTCTTTCTGAGCTCAAAGTCTCAGCCATGCTCCCCATAGTCTTGTTGAAGGAACTAGCCTGAAGGTTCAGGGGAGCTCAGCATAGCGTCTAGTCGCCAATTGCCTCATCTGCAGCACTCAGCTGTCTGAGCCCTCTCTCCAGTGTACGATGGGGAGACTTAACAGGATTGGGAACTTTAATAGAATGTAGCTTCTGAGAAAATTGTGAAGAATCCAAAATAGATTTCCAGTAATGTGTCTTTATAAATCAAACATCATAGCGTAGACAAAGCTGGCCTCACTGCCCTGTTATTAGCTGGATTTTGGTGGGGAGAGAGGGGATCTTACTCAGAGATGGGCTTGCTTTGCACCATCTACTCTCACTCCTGCCCAGTCCCACTTGTGACCAACCAGCCAGAGGTAAAGGTATAACATGCGGAGGGAAAGCTTTTCCTCTATATTTGATTAAAGTCCAGGCCCTGGCCACCTTGGGGAACCTGCCAGTCTGCTTACCACCAGCTAGCCCAACCTCACTAAAGGGGCTGATTCCTCTAAGTCATCGTTATCTTCCCTTTTTCTTGGTTTGGGAAATGGGCCTGGGCAGGGGAAGGGTATAGAAATATAGTAATCCCAGTTCAGGAAGGAAGGGAGATAAGTAACAGATTAGAAAACGAGGGGAAGGGAATCTGGATGCAAATCATAGTAACATCCTACATTTACATAGCACATTATAGATTACAGGTACTTGGACTTGCTCTGGAGCCTTTTGTGAACTACCCAATCTCTCCACCTCTTCTTGTCCCCACCTGTAAGTTGGAAGATACTATTTAACAGCCTTGCTCTTATAATGGCTATTAGAAATCCTTCTCAAAACAAAACAGAGACCATGAACAAACTCCCATATCCTTTCCAGACTAAAAACTGTTCTGTAGAGGCTCATGTGGCATCATCCATTGAGCATATTCCCAAAGCAGATGCTCGTATGGAAGAGAGGTGAGAACAGCTGTAGCAACTAGGAATAAATATCAAAGTTCTCCAGCTCCCTGCGGCTCAGTCGAGCAGGGTTCTGGGCTCTGAGTTGTCTCTTTCCAACCTATAGAAAGAAGAAGAAGAGACACTTCAGACCCTCCCATTAGGAGATCTTCACAACCACCCTGTGGAGTATGAATTATTATCCTTATTTTGCAGATTAAGAAAATGAAACTCAGAGCAGTAAAACAAAGCACTCAGGGTCAATGACTAATATGAAGTAAAGGAGGGACTTGAATCCAGGTCTTCTGGCTCCAATTCCGGGGCACTTTTAACCACACCATGCTTCTTCATAACTTCAATAGGCCTGCCTTGGCCCATACAGTGTCCTCTGCAATCCCGGACTGTCAAGTTGGCTTTAATGTTGGGCTACAGCTGAAGGACCAGGAATCCCAGCATACACTGCTGACCCAATCTAAGCACCTGAAGTCATTTTTCCAGAAGCCATAGTTTGTACTGAGCCACCCATCCTCTCCCTTATGGTCAATGGCAGCACCATTATTGGACCATGGGCAGTGGCTCAGGTGTAGCATGAGGGTAACAGGTAGGGGTCTTCTCTGTGCCTTAATTTCTCCAGGTATAAGTAGGAAATATAATTGTACTTACCTAATAACAATTTGTGAAGACTAAATGAGATAAATCATGTGAAGCTTTTGGCAGGCTGCCTTATACATAATTAGCCCCAATAAACGTTAGGTAGGTCCTTCCTTTCCACTTCCTAAATGGCCTGATGGGAATCAAGTCAGCCACCAAGTTCAGTGATCACCTTTGAACAGTGTCCACTCCAGCAGCAGCTCAAGATCATCCATGTCTTGGGATGGCTCCCAATTACTTGCTAATCCTTAGAAAATCATTTTGATTTGTTTATCTGCTGCCCCTCCCTGCCCACATACACACACTTTTGGAAAAAAAGAGACGTCCAGTTGTTATCTATAGCCTGGGGACCAGCCTGGAGACAGTCCTAATTTAGAACCCAAGCTCCCCAGTAGGAGTCAAACTCCAAGACATGATACGACCTTGGGTTAGACACTCATCCTCCTTGGGTCTCAGTTTCTTCAACTTTAAAATGAAGATTTGGATAAAAAAAACCCCTAAAATCCCTTCAACTCTGAGACTCTATGGATAACCTTTTCATAAGGCTAGATTTCAGAGCTATGGAGACTCAACCCATTCAGAATCAGTTCTAGAATCTTACCTCTTCATAGACGGTACAACGGGAAGAAGGACCGTGGTTCTTCTTGGACCCAGACTGGAAATTCAGAGGGTAAAGTGGGCTTAACTTCAGGATAAATGATGTGAGGGGTCCCAAAGGAGACTCATATCCCAGAAAGCCCCTGAAATACTCGCAGCCAGAGGTGAATAGAATTTTCTACCACCAGAGTAAACAATAGTGTTTATGGTCTCCAGAGAAGGCACAATCCATACTTGCTTATGATATGACATCTATGAACCAAAGGTAGAAACTAAACCCATATACTCCTAAAACCCACACATAGCACATACACACACACACACACACACACACACACACACACCCCTAATTTAAACACTTCTGACCAGCCCTAAGTGCCAGCCCTAGCACCTCCCCTGTGAGTAACTGGAATTCAGAAGCACTATGGATAGTATGAGGTGTCTGGGTGGCACGAAGTGATTTGTGCTCAGCTACTAACCTAAAGGTTGGTGGTTCAAACCCACCCAGTGGCACCACAGAAGAAAACCCGGGCAATCTGCTTCAGTAAAGATTACAGTAAGAAAATCCTATGGAGCAGTTCTACTCTGTAACACATGGGGTCACTATGAGTTGGAATGGACTTGATGGCAATGGCTTCGGGTTTTTAGGGTTTTTTTTAGAAGGGGTAGGTAGTATGCAGAATTTTCATAGCATAGTACCAAGCACAAGTAGGTGCCAATAAACATCTATATGGCATAGATTGTGACATATAATTTAAGTATAAATATCTCTCATGGTGAGATCCAAGTTGGCTGACGGACTTATTGGAAAGAGGTTGAACGGGAAGTCTGAAAATCTGTTATAACTACATCCCCTACCCCATTCAATACACACAGCGTCCCTGACCTGCATGTACTCAACACTTTCATACTTTGGTAGAGTCCCAACTTCTCATACTACCATGTTAAGATTTCCTACTGTGGCTCAAGACTTGCAAAACCACTCTTCCCACCACCTTCCCACACATCTATCTCTTGTTGGGACATGCACACCCATGGTCTACAAACACATGTCTGCACACACATGTGCATACACTTATGCAAAATATACACCTGCATCAATAGCATCCCCCAGAGGAAGAGACTCACCTTCTGGAAAGACTGTACTGTTGAATATACTGTATTTTCATTTTTTGGTAATAGGGAAGCAGATTTCTAATGAAAAGAGAAGTAAAATCATTTCAGAAACATAGATCCAGCACAACCCTAGGGAAGTCACCCTCTGCCTCAACCCTGCCCAGACAGAAACTTCAAGTGTTAGTAAAAGGAGCTGTGGACTAGCCAGGTGGTCAGACAAACTGAGTGTAGTCTTACTCTGTCACTAACAATGGCTATTATGTGTTGAGCACTTATTCAGTACATATATTCTTTCCTAACCCTTATAACACCACTGTTGTTGTTGTTAGTTCGAGTCACCTACAACTACTCGTGGTGGTTCCATGTACAGCAGAATGAAACATTGCTCGGTCCTGTACCATCTTCATGGTTGTCAGTATGCTCAAGTCCGTTGTTACAGCCACTGTGTATTTCAAGTGCCTTCCAACCTAGGGGCTCATTTTCCAGCATTATATAGGGCAATATTATGATCCATAAGGTTTTCATTGGCTAATTTTCACAAGTCGATCACTAGGCCTTTCCTCCTAGTCAGTTTTGGCTTGGAAGCGCCACTGAAACCTGTCTACCATGAGTAATCTTACCAGTATTTGAAGTACCGGTGGCATAGCTTCCAGCATCATAGCAACACTCAAGCCAGCACATACGACAAATTGACAGACAGGTGGTGGATAACTCTCCAGCAAGATAGGAATGATCATAATTTGCCCCATACTACAGATGAAGCTCCAAAAAGATAAACAGCCCTACGTCAGGCAGTGTGTGCACAGTAGAAATAGGGTTCAACCCCAGAATCTCTAGGTAGGGTTCTTTCCTCAACACCTCAATGCCTCCCTTTGGCAGAGTGCCCTTCTTCTCTGGACCTGAACCAGGTGTCCTCTAGGGCAGGTAACCATCCTCCTGTTAAGACAGTCCAGAGAGGGGAATCTCATTTTTTCTCAACACCATACATAGTCTCAGGAGCTCTTTCTTGCACCTTATTAAAATCCCTCTTGTTGGAGTTAAATATGGCCAGAGAACAGAAAGATATCAATCACTCTTGTGTTGTCTCTTCGATGCTTTTAGACTTTCACCCACTGTCATAATGTTGTTGGGTGCCATAGAAGCACATTGTCTTAAGGGCAACAGGAGGAGGCAAACCCTACTCATTCCAGAGAGTCCCTGGGAGTGGTTGAGTGCATTCTCTTTCTGTCTCTCCTTTCTCCTCCACTTCTCTCTTCTCTCCCTCATTGCCTTCTCTTTCCCTTATTCTTCCCCTTCCCTTCCTTCTCTCTTTCCTTTTCTTGAACTTTCTCAGAGGCCTATTATCATTTCCCAAGGACCTTCTTTGCTCGGCAGCTCAGCTACTGGGCTGAGGAGGTTGCTGCTTCAGGTCTTTGTTCTTCAAACACAGTCATTTTAATCAGAGATTTTTTTCATCACTGGCCAACAGGGGCAGTGCTTCCCTTGGGAGAGATGCTCATGCGAAACTGTTGTCAATATTAGAAGATGCTGTGGTAGAAGTGGAGCCCTGGTAGTGCAGTAGTTAAGAGCTATGGCTGCTAACCAAAAGGTCAGTGGTTTCAATCTACCAGTTGCTCTTTGGAAACCCTATGGGGCAGTTCTACTCTGTCTTATAGGGCCAACTATGAGTTGGAATTGACTTGAAGGCAATGGGTTTGGGTTTTGGTCTGGTGGTGCAAATGGTTAACGCACTTGGCTGCTAAATGAAAGTTTAAGATTCAAGTCTACCCAGAGACACCTGGAAGAAAGGCCTGGCAATCTATTTCCAGAAATTCAGCCATTGAAAACCCTATGAGGCATAATTCTTCTACTCTTGACACCCATGGAATTGCCATGTGTCAGACTGAATGGCAACAGATTTTTAACTTGTTTCTCCAGTTTACAGATGAGTTTATACAATGTCAGAATGTTCCAGCTGGGGTAGGAGGAGGTACAGCGGAGACTCAGAAACCGTTTGGCTCAGCTTTGCCACTACTCAGCTACAGGAGTTTGAACAAGCTAGTTAACGTCTGTGAATCTCAGTTTTCTCATCTGCAAAATGGGGTTCATAGTAGACCTGTTTCACAAGGCTATTATGTAAGATTCCATGAGAAAATGGACAGAAAGCCCTTTTCACAGTGTCTGGCATATAATAAGCACTTAATAAATGCTAAATCATAATAAGATAAAAGGGACTAATTGATTTAGGAAATGATATTGGAGTCATTATTCCCTGTCCTTGAGCATAGAGAATGTGACCCAGCTGGAGCTGGACTCACAAGGACTCACAAGGACCCATCAACTGGGCCCGGAGGTATAAAGACAATAGCTAGGACAATCTCAGAAAGTATCTTTTAGGGAACCTTTCACGTAAACCAACCAAACAGAACACACAAGACTTTCCACTCTTATCTTTTTCTATTAGCATTTAGTGAATAGAAAATTTGTTGGACCGATGAAGACCCTCTTGTCGTTACTGAAACCTGTACCAATGTTTGTTAAGACAGGCAATTCAAAATGTAGGATGGCAGTTTCTAGCCAATCTGTGAAAAGGTGAAGCTTTCAAAGGTTTTGCCCATTATGTAATGTTAATATACACTGATGATTCTGTAACATTCCTCGGACTCAGGCAGACATGTCTCTGGCAGCATGCTTGTCCATTTTCTCGTTCTCGCCTATTCTGTAATGCTCCTCGGACTCGGGCAGACATGGCTCCGGCAGCATGCTTGTCCGTTTTCCCACTTTTGCCTCTTTGCACATATGCTGAAGAAAACTTTCTTTTTGCATTACTAAATTTTGTGATTTTTTTACCCTACAACACAATACAGATCCACTCTTTCCTGAAAACAGGTATGATAGGCAGTAAGGATAAAGGAGGCAAAGACCCCAAGTATTGGAAGGAGCAGGCGGAGAAAACGGAAGCTCAGCCCCTGACAAGATTCCTCTTCCTGTCAACTTTATCTGGGCTCAAACCTTCTGCCAGGCTTGGAAGAAAAAGGAATGCCTGCATCATACATTCCAGCTCTGTTAAGACACTCCGGAATCACACTGGTCTTTTCTAACAACTTATTAATCCATCTGAGGCCAACCTGTCTTATAGCCCACAAGAGTGCCAAGATCTTATTCTGCCATTCAAAGGAGTAAGTGTCTGGGAGGCATTAGGAAGCCCCGAAGGACTAGAGAAATGAGAGAGGTACCTGGGACTGGATCCTGGAGTAGATGGTGCGGTCTTCTCTAGAGGAATTCTGCTCCTGCTCCTGCTCCTGCTCCTGCTCCTGCAAGAAACAGTAAAGGAAGCGCACAGAACATGAAGTCTGTCCAGATTTGGATTGAGTGAGGAGAGACAGCACAAAGGACAGGAGCCTGGGAGGGGTGGCAGGGCCTGGCAGACCCTCCTCATTGCTTAGTCCCAGGAGGTGGAGAGACAGTAGAAAGAGCAGACTCACAGTGAGCAGTGTCAGGACTGAGTATGTCTCAGGTGTGCCGAGACTGCATCAAGCCACCCCGCCCAGGGGGCTCCTGTCACGGCTTCACTTTGATAATTTAGAAGCCCTTTCTGTCATTTGCTGAGTTCTCAACTAAGTTTGCCACATAAACACTGAGTAGCGCTATGCTCTGGGCCTTACCTTACCAGTGATCTGGGCACTGAAATTTAGAGGGTTTCAGTGTTTTAAAGACTAAGCACATTTAAGCCTCCCCTCTGGATCTTAACCACTACTTGGTGGAGTACTGGTTAAGAGCTATGGCGGCTAACCAAAAGGTCAGCAGTTCAAATCCACCAGGTGCTCCCTGGAAACTCTTTGGGGCAGTTCTACTCTGTCCTCTAAGGTCGTTGAGTTGGAATTGACTCAACGGCAATAGGTTTGGGTTTTTTTCTGGTGTCAGGTTCATATCCCGGACGAGCCCTTGTCTGTTCATAGAACTATACTACATCTTTTCAGAAACATTGGTGGCGTAGTGGTTAAGTGCTACAGCTGCTAACCAAAAGGTCAGCAGTTCAGTTCCACCAGGTGCTCCTTGGAAACTCTATGGGGCAGTTCTACTCTGTCCTATAGGGTCGCTATGAGTGGGAACCAACTAGACAGCAGCAGTTTCTTTGGATCTAGCCTCAGGGGCCGGCGTGCCCTTGGCCTCAACCTACTGCAGTAAGGAGTGGAGCCCTAGGCCCAAGGCCCAAGGCCCAAGGCCCAAGGCAGGGAGCATGGTGGCCCCTTCCCGTGCCCCACAGGGGATTTCAGGTGGAGGTATTTCATGCTGCTCGCCCCCCTGAGCAAATACTGCCAGTTGGGCTCTGGTGGGGAGCCAGTGGAGGCCAGCAGGGTTCATTCAGCAAGGTGCAAACTCAACTCTCCCAGAAGCAGGAGGAAGCCAAGTGGAGCTAAGAAACCTCAGCCGTCCTTGGAGGCTGAGTCACGGGCATCTGGCCAGACACAGGAGTTTGTTGCTTTTCTCTCCTGCCCAGACCAGTGTAAAGTGTCTCCAGAGATGGTCTGACTGAGTCCCAAGGTAAGACCACATGAGCTTGCAATTTAGGCTTGCATACTGGAGCCTGCAGAGAGTAGGGAGAAGCCAGGAAGAGATGAGGCCAGTCAGGGAGGAACCCCAAGTCAGAAGCAGGGAAACAAGCCTGAATCCCCAAGAGATTTCTTTTGCTCTAAATTGTATTTTCCTCTATGTTTCCCTTGTTTTACCTAATCTAAAGTGATCTTAATTGGGAGGGGGGAGCTATTTTTAGCGAGTATTTGGGCTTCAGTATCTGTAGATAGATGTATCTGCTGTCAGGAATTCATAGGGCACACCTCTGCCCACACCACAGTATCCCCACTGGGAACTATCCTTGGGTCCCACTGAGCCCCAGAGCTGAGGGAAGCTGCATGTCTGCTCTGTGAGGGCTCATCTGCCAGAGGTGACTTTCTGTGCAGTGCCTCCTGAGGCTAAGCACCAAGAATAGAGGTGGGAAGAGGGTACTTCCTCCCCACTTCCACAGCCCCACCCCACCTAGTATGGGGAGGAGGAAGACCATCAGGTCAGGGCCCTTCCCCTGGGCCTGTCACCACATCCTACCCCACACAGCAGCCAGGGGTGGGGGGCACCCTGCAGACCCTCTGTGGTTTCCTACTCTTCCATATCCTGCATGGCAGGCAGCCTCGCCCACTGCCTGCAGAGCTGACAGAGAGATTCCTGGAGGATCCCGCACTGGCTGAGCTGCCTTTGTGCTAACCTGGCTACTATTTCTAACTCCTCAGTCAGACTCAGGCCTCTTCTTCCTAAAAGGCAGAGACCGTAGCCCAGTGGGACAGCTACAAAGCTCCTGTGCTTTGGCTGGTCACACTGGCATCCTCCCCAGGCTGGGCAGGGATCAAGGGGTCTCACAAGTAAGATCCGGATACAAGAATCTGTGGTCAGATTCAACAAATACAAGATGGCTGGATTCCTCCTGGGGCTCAGCCATCTGGTGAGGCAGGGCAGAAGCAAGGACCCCAGCAGCAGTACTCTGCCCGCTGTTATTGGTTTCTTTGGTGCTCCATCCCTTCTCAGTAGCTACGTTCTGTACCAAAATGCCCTATCTTCCCTCCTTCCATCTCCTCTGCTCCCTTTCTTTTCCTCTTCCCTCCATCACCAAAGCTAGGAACCCAATGGAGAAAAGATAGCTGAGGGGAGAAAGGGGGGAGTTGAGGACCACTTTGGGAGGACAATTGTCCAGTTCTCTTTGTCTCCCTGCTCTGAATGGCCATTCACCCAAAAGCATCCTCTAGACACGCTGAGGGAGACCCCATCCCCTAGTGTGTCATACTTGATTTCTCCTGAGTGGCAGATGGTTGATACGTTCATAAACTGTCCGACATTCTTCCTCTGTGCTCTCACCTATGGGAAGAAAGAAGCAAAGAACAGAGCTGCAGAGATCTCCAGGGAGCATACTGTCCAGGTTTCTACTTCTGGCGGCTTCCACTGCCATCCCAGATGACCAACCAACCCAACCAAACCCATTGCCGTCGAGTCAATTCCGACTCATAGCAACCCTATAGGACAGAGTAGAAATGCCCCATAGGGTTTCCAAGGAGAGCCAGATGGCCAAGACCTTGAGAAAGGTTCTGGGAAGGAAGCAGGCCGGTGCTCTTCCCAGGATACCCCTCCACTGGCCCAAAGAGCACAGAGGCAGTAACCGCCCCCCAACACACCCACTCTGTCAGGCAGGGCAGCCCCCACACCAGCCACTTGCAGATAAATCTGCACATTGGGGATCAGACTGTAAACATCCAGGCAGCCACCACAGAGCACATGAATTGAAACAAAGGGTCAAGCAGCTGCTGCGCCCCTCCACACCACTGTGCACACACACATCCCGAAGACTCCTGAGGAAAAGTAGGCACTGCACTTCCAGGAACCTCCCGCTAGGCAGAGGGCCAAATCACTTGATACCGATGCCTCAGGCAACAGCACCTGCTGGGAACGTTCCACTTACTTGACTGCTTCCTTTTCCTCCTCCACACGCAGAAGCTGATGAGGGTGCCAAGGCATAGTATGACTAGCAGAATCGCGAAGATGATCACCAGAAGGCGTGGAAATATGACATCTGAGGGACACAGAAGGCCAGGGGACAGAGCTCAGCCCTCCCTCTGCCCCTTCCCATCTGTCTGCAGCAGGGGCGATCTCAAAACCCACGCTCCTTTCTGGTGTAGCTGGTCTCCTCATGCTCTGTGAATTCACTGCCAAGGTGGTCTCTCTCTGCTCATTTGGGTGCCTCCCCTGGAGTGGGGCCTAGAACTTGAATGTTAACACCTGACAGACCTTTTTCAAATTCAGATTCTACCCATAAACTGTGTGCCCTTGGGCATCTTACTTAACTTCTCTGAGCCTCAGTTTTCTGTAGCCCTAGTGGCGCAGTGGTTAAGAGCTGTAGCTGCAAGCCAGAAGGTTGGCAGGTCAAATCCACCAGCCACTCCTTAGTAACCCTACGGGGCAGTTCTACTCTGTCCTATAGTGTCACTATGAGTTGGAGTCAACTTGATGGCAATGGTTTTGGTTTGGGGTTTTATAAAAGGGAAATAATGTTATCCACCTATGGGGGTTAATTACATGAACTAATCTATGTAAAGCATCTGGCATGGTAAAAGTTACGTCTATCCATCCATTTATCTTTAATTCGACAAATGTTTACTGTGTACCTACTGTGTGCCAGGAATCTCTCCCATTCCACCTTCCTGCTGCTCCTGACTTCACTGCTCTTCCTTATCTGAACTTCTACTTGTAACAATGTGTCACACATGTAGCCTAATATATAATCCAACCAACAAGAGGGGAGGGGAAAGGAATTAAATATTCCAGTTACTGGCTGACTAGGTTCTCTACAAACATTATCTCATTTAATCTAAATAACAATCTGTGAAGTACTTATTACCATCCCCATTTTACCCAGGAGAAAAAAAATGAGGCTCAGGGAAGTTAATGAATTTGCCTGGGATCACAAAGCTAGTGAATGGTGAAGCCCATTCATGATCCCAAAAGCCAGGGTCCTTACCATTACACATGTTGCCTCAGTCTTATTCATTTCTTTTTTGCCCACAAGTACTTAGTTTTGTTGCCCCAATTTGGGTATAAGCTCCTTAAGGACAGGGACTGTATGTTTTTTACCATGTAATGCCCATGCTGATGCCCCAGTAGATCTTTGTTTATCTAATTAAAAATTGATGCAAACTTAACTCAAGGTAATTCTCAGGATGAGCATAAAAACCAAACCAAAACTCTTTCCATAGAGTTGATTCCAACTTACAGGAACCGTATAGGACAAAGGAGAATTACCCCATATGGGTTCCAAGGAGCACCTGGTGGATTTGAACTGCTGACCTTTTGGTTAGCAGCCACAGCAGGGTGAGCATAAGCATAAATCAAGAACCCACTGTCCAGGTGCTGTTGGGCCCTGTAGTTATCTGTTGAAGGACTATATGGCTTGGGGCAAGTGATCACTCAGAAGGAGGAAGTAGGTTTCCATCAGTCTCTCAGAGGAATAAAATAATGGTCAGGAGCCATTGCAGCACTGGGGCTCAACAACTATGCATTCCCCGAAATAAAAGGAAAACTTGCATCTCCCAGAAGGAGATTCTTGATGGAGATAAAATTCTTTCCAGAATAGGACAGGCCTTACTTTACAGGAACTGTGTGCTTAGAAGCCAAGACCCCCGAGGAAGGGCTGCAAGGCACTAGGGAAGGCAGCCAAGGATTTCACACCAGATCTCTCTTGCACATGAGCCTGCTTTTGGGGTCCCACACCTTGAGCCCCAGTTATAGCCCAAAGTGGTTGCTTACTCTGTTGAGTCCTCAGACAGTCCCCGGGGAGGATGAGAGTGTGGTTTGCCCAGCTGACAGAGTTGCTGACATTGCAGGTGTATATGTGCAAGCCGTTGACATCAATGTGCTCCACCAGGTGGGTGAGGTTCCCCCATGGCTGGATCAACTTCTTCCCTTTGTACCAAGCATAGCTCACATTCTCATCCCTGGAGACTGAGCAAGACAGATTCAGCTGACACGTCCCATCATCCAGCTCCTTCAACCTCCCCTGCAAGTCGGGCTTTTCAATAGGTTCTGGAAGCAGAGGTTCTGATCAGAAACGTGCTGAAAACACAAGTCCTGAAAGACTCAGAGGGGGAGGACAAGTGACCTGGGGACTCACCCAACACAGAAACCTGGAACTTGGTTTTCTGTATTTTCCCCGACTTGTCGGTGACCTCCAGGAAGTAGAAGCCGCTGTCCTGCTGCTGAGCTCCCTCGATGAGAATAGCCAACTCTTTGCATATAAACTTGAGTGTGTTGTTGAAATGCTCCAAAACACAAGGTGTAGGCGTCCAACTGCAATTACCTCTCCAAGTCAGTATCTCACATATTGCAGATGAGGAGAACTGCACCTTCCATTGGACAGAGTATGCTTTATTTAGCTCCAGGTTGGGTGGCCGTAACCAGAGAGATTCTCCCGAGGGGTGAATCACATGGTCAGCAGAACCTAGGTATTCCAGGAAAGAGAACCCAGGCTGAAGGTGGCAGGAAAGGTATCAGTTCTGAGCAACGTGGGCAGTTGGGGATAATTTCCCTTAAGCCAGGAGGGAAGCCCAAAGTATGAGGAGTATGAATACGAGGAGCCAGAGTCTAAGAGAATCTTAATGCATACTTCCCTTATCTGCCTCTGCTTCTCCCCAAGCTCTGTGCCTGTTGTGCGATGCATGGTTTCTGTGTGGCCCTTCTTGCCATGGTCATGTAACTCCCACCCAAGCGATTAGGTGGGACCATGCAAATAAGGTCTGTGGAACCCTAACCAGGGGGACTGGTCAGTTTTGCCTCCCCGATAGTCTTAAAAGAGAACTAATTCCAGAGCAGAGGGAGGATCTCACCACAACCAAGGAAAAAGGGTCAAGAGCAGAGCACGTCCTTTGGGCCTGGGGTCCCTGGGCTGAGAAGCTCCTGGAACCAGGAGACTGAGAGAGAGAGAGCTGCAACACTGAAGATGGTGAGAAGTGGTGGCAGAGAAACGGTAGCAGGAAAAACCAGCAGGAGAGGGTAGCAATGGGCTTCCTCGCCTACTGAGTAAGAAACCTGAGTACCTTCAGGCAGGAGACTTTCTGGAGGAGTAGGGTGCCCCAGGCACTTGGTGGAGCTAGGTTTGCCTACCCAGGGAGCTAGAGCCGAGCACCTTCAGGCTCAGGCTTACTAGAGGACTGGGGTGCCTCAGGGAACTTATCAGCAGAGCTAAAAGAGCTTTGTAACACTTGCCCCAGCAGGGCAGAGGCTGAGGGGCTAGAGAGAGGTGTGCCTGCGAGCACAGCTGAGAAGAGGCTGTCTTGATAGAAGAATTGTATCCTGAGCATTCCTGAACCTGAACTGTAGCCTGTTATTTCCCTAATAAACCCCATAACTGTGAGTATTGTCTGTGAGTTCAGTGTGGCCATTGCAAAGAATTATTAAGCCCAGCAGAGAAGCAGAGAGTACTGTGGGAGAGATGGTAGGCTTCAGAATTGGTAAAGATGTGGAGAGAGGAGGCATAACATGCCTCCACCTCATAGGAATCAGCCTTGGGATGTTGATCTTGATTCTCCTTCCCCCTTGTGAAGTTAGAAGAAGTCAAACAGTGCCCCCACTCCATTTTTGCAGTGCCCCTAGTCTGAAGGAGCCCACAAGCCAATACTAGTAGCTAAAAACTCTTGAGTACTTACTATGTGACAGGCAGGTTTCTAAAGAAACGCTTCGCATGCTTTAGTTATTTAACTTCACAATGACCCCACCGTGGTCTCATCCCCAATTCACAGGTGAGGAAACTGAATTAGAGCTTAAGTTACTGGCCCAAGCTACACAGTGAAAAAGATAAGTTAAAAACTCAGTCACTGAGGCTTTAGAGCACGAACTCAGAGTCATGATGTTATTAAACAGCAGATTCCGTATCTGGTGTGACTCCTTCCCAGTGGCACTGAAGTAACCACTAGTGTCAGTGGTGGTTGCTGGAGGAACTAAATGGCCAGACCCAGTAAGATTAACCCTCCATGATGAACTCGTGGCTCCCTCCTCTGTCTTCCCGTAGAGATTAGTTCATAATCCTCTCTTGTTGCACTTGACACATTGGATTTCGGTCATTACTCATTAATGTTTGCCAATTTTGTAGTCATCAGAAAGTGTTCACAAGGATTGCTACCTAGAAATCAATTATAAATATTCCAGGCAAGAAAAGGCATTTGATGAAATCCAACACTCCTTCTTGATGAAAATCCTCAACAAGATTGGAATAGGAGGGAAGTTCGTCAATATGATTAAGAGCATATATGAAAACCCAACAACCAACATTATACTTAATGGAGAAAGATTGAGAACTTTTTGCTTAAACTTAGGAACAAGACAATAGTGCCCACTCTTGCAACTCCTATTCAATAGTGTATTAGAAGTCCTAGCCAGAGCAATAAGACAAGAAAAAGAAATACAGGCATACCTCAGAGATATTGTGTGTTTTGTTCCAGACCACCACAATAGAGCGAATATCACAGTTCAGTAAGTCACACGAATTTTTTTGTTTTCCAGTGCATATAAAAGTTATGTTTACATGGATAAACAAACTATGGTACATACACACAATGGAGTACTGTGCAACGAGAAAGAACAATGATGAATCTGTGAAGCATCTCTAACATGGATGAAACTGGAGGACATTATGCTGAGTGAAATAAGTCAATCACAAAAGGACAAATATTGTATGAGACCTCTGTTGTAAAAACCCATGAAAAAGTTCACACACAAAAAGTAACCATCTTTGTTGGTTACCAGGGATGGGCGTGGAGGGGGCTGGGATACTAAATAGGCAATAGATAAGTGGTACCTTTGGTTAAGGGTGAGACAGTACACGATAGTGGGGAAACCAGCACAACTTGTACAATGAAAGGTCATGAAAGCTCCATAGACACATCCAAACTCCTTGAGGGACTGAATTGCTTTGCGGAGGGCTGTGGGGACCATGGTCTTGGGGAACATCTAGCTCAATTGGCATAACACAGTTTAAAAGACACTGTTCTACATTCTACCTTGGTGAGTAGTGTCTGGGGTCTTAAAAGCCTGTGAGCAGCCATCTAAGATACTCCACTGGTCTCATCCCTTTGGGAGCAAGGGAGAATGAAGAGAACAGGATACAAGGAAAAGATTAATCCAAAGGACTAATGGACCACAGCTACCAAGGCCTCCACCAGACTGAGTCCAGTACAGCTAGATGGTGCCCGGCTACCACCACTAACTGCTCTGACCAGGATCAGAACATAGGGTTCTGGACAGAGCTGGAGAAGGATGCAGAACAAAATTCTAACACACATAAAAAAGACCAGATTTACTGGCCTGACAGACTGGAGAATCCCCGAGAATATGGCCTCCAGACACCCTTTTAGCTCAGTGGTGAAGTCACTGCCGAGGTTCACCATTCAGCTGGGGATTGGACAGCCCCATAAAACAAACCGGGATTAATGTTACCAAATGTTTTGATCAAAGATTCTATAGATAAATTCTGATCAAAACGGGGAAATTGCAGACAGAATTTCATATTCTTATGGAATCCAGCATTTCTGGAACCATTGAGGCTGGATGAACCCTTGAAACAATTGCCCTGAGATAATCTTTAAACGTTAAACCAAAAATGTCCCCTGAAGTCTTCTTTAAACCAAACAATAGTTTGACTTAATTAGTAAAGAATGTCTACCTTGAGTATTGTGCTTTTTTAAAGAACAATCTATATGGGATCAAATTGACAACAGCAACTCAAATAGTTACATAGGAAGCTTAAGGGCAGTGAGTTTATGTTAATGGGGGAGGAAAAATTCAGAAAAGGAAGGTGAGAATGGCTGCACAACATGAAGAATATAATCAATGCCACTGTGTTGTACATGTAGAAATTGTTGAATTGGTGTATGTTCTGCTGTGTATATTTTCAACAAAAAAATTAATTAAATTTTTTTTTTTTTTAAATATCCTAGGCATATCCCAGCACTTCCTTCTCTGGTAATCAAGATGGGAGTTAAGCTATGTGGAGGTGTGACATAGAGCTGCTTGCCTTTGCCCACCTTAGAGAAGCCCAATGCAGTCAGTGGAGAAAAGTGGCATTTTTAGCTGGATAACTATGTGGCATGGCCCAGTGGATACAAGAAAAAAAAGTCTGTCTGATGGGGGAAGGTCAGGAAGAGTTTGGAGGAGAGACTAGGAGTCAGAAAGAGTTATACAACTAGCTTCTGTCAAAATGGAAGGCATTAAGAGGAGAGCAATGAAGAGATAGGGATTTTTAGGCATCCGTCTGCATTGTAAATGCACTCACCCCCAGCCACAACTTCACCCTGGCATTTCCTCAAGAGACTAAGTAAATAATTTAATAATTGTAATTAGTATTTTGTTGATGGAATTTTTTCTTTCATCTTGAAACTCCTAAGAATAAACCACAAGGGGTTCCCATTTATATTCCCATGACATGTACTGGCTCTGCCACTTACCAAACCAAAAACTCTTCAAAAGCAAAAACTATGTCGTGCATCTCTGTGTCTCTGTCTCCCATGGTCCTAGCACAGTAAATGAGAATGGGGCCTCCTATTAACATTGCAAAACAATCTTGAGAACAAAGGTGAATGGAAAAATAATTACTAAACCTACAAAAAGGACATCTGCTGTCATCATTAATTATCCAGTCTTTATTTAACTCCCACTGTAACACAGACCCTGAAGATGCAGAAACATCTAAGACATAGTTCCTGACTCTGGAGAATTTGTGATCTGGAAACAGAACATACTTTGATTCTACAGCATACAATTAACGTTGTTAGGTGCCATCAAGCAGCTCTGACTCACAGCTACCTTTGTATACCAGAATGAAACATTGCCCGGTCCTCTGTCATTCTTACAATAGTAGGTATGTTTGAGCCCATTGTTGCAGCCACTGTGTCAATCCATCTTGTTGAGTGTCTTCCTCTTTTTCTCTGACCCTCTACTTTACCAAGCACAATGTCCTTCTCCACAGTTTGGTCCCTCCTGAAAACATGTCCTAAGTAAGCGAGACGAAGTCTTCCTTATCATCCTTGCTTCTAAGAAGCATTCTGGCTGTACTTCTCCCAAGACAGATTTGTTCATTCTTCTGGAAGTTCATAGTATATTTAATATTCTTCACCAACCATAATTCAAATGCATCAGTGTTTCCTCTGTCTTCCTTTTTCTTTGTCCAGCTTTTGAATGCATGTGACGCGAATGATAATGCCATGGCTTGGGTCAGGAACACCTTAGTCTTCAAAGTGACATCTTTACCTTTTAACACTTTAAAGAAGTCTTTTGCAGCTGATTTGCCCAATGCAATACATCATTTGATTTCTTGACTGCTGCCTCCATGGGCATGGATTGTTGATCCACGTAAAATGAAATCTTTGACAACTTCAATCTTTTGTCTGTTTATCATGACATTTCTTACTGGTCCGGTTGTGAGGATTTTTGTTTTCTTTATGTTGAGGT